GTTCCCTACGCTGATACAAAATGTTCCTATATAGTAAGAGTGGCTCACTGCACCTAAACTGTTTGAACAAACAATGTGGTTTAGGCTCAATAGCTACTTTCCCTCTGGGAGTCTAGAAGTTTGGTACATGGTAGGCAGAGGGTGCCTATGCAAACAGTCTCCAATAATAATCTTAGGCACCGAGTCTCTAATGAGCTTCCTTGGTAGACAACATTTCACACGTGTTGTCACAACTTGTTGCTGGAGGGATTAAATGTGTCCTGTGAGACTCCACTTGGAGAGAAGTGAGAAGCTTGAATCTAGTTTCTTCCACACTTTGCCTCTTGAGCCTTTCCCTTTACTGAGTTTCCTTTGTAGCCTTTTACTACAATAAACTTTAGCTATGTGTACAACTATATGCTAAGTCCTGTGAATCCCTCTAGCCAATCGCCAGATGTGATGGTGGTCTTAGGGACCCCTAACACACTATCGTTATGGATATAATTACAAAGTATTTATTGAAAGACAAAAAATGGAGAGTTACATCATGGTCAAAAATGGGAAAAAAAGGCAGTCAAGAATAGGGAAAAAAGGCAGGAAAAAATACAATAATCATGTATTTAATGCTATTCCAATCAAAATGCCCTATGGTTCTTGATAGATCAATCCTAAAATCGATATTGAAGAGCAAAGGGCCAATATTCTTCTATAACCAATTTTGGAAAAGAAGCACAAGACTGTAGGATTTTCCCAACCTGACAATAATTCCTGACATCAGGACTTATTGTAAAGTGATAGCAATTAGGCAGCAGGGAAGATATTTCAATGGAATTTCTCATGGAATTTGACAACATGACATGTAAGAACGTATAAGAACAAACAGAAGACCAAAAATATCCATGACTATCCTGAGGAAGATGGATAAGCCTATCAGATTTTAAGTACTTGCGGTATAATAAATTACTTAGTGTGGCTTTTCTACCCATAAGTCTTTGTAAACTCCAAGGTGGGATTTTCTATGAGCAACTGAGGAGCTCCTGATTGCTGAAGTTGTCCACCTGGAGTATTTCTGTTAGGAGTGGCACAAAACAATGTTCTGGGAGGTGCCCACTCTCTCTCAGGTGCTTAGAGTTCTGA